TATTTTAAAGGAGACACAGGCAATTTTGTTTATACTTGATTATCTCACGTGTCTTCAATAAAGGTCACTGTGAATCAAATATCTTTTAGAGTTATTATCTGAATACCGATAAACATGCTAAAAGGTACAACTTCCTTAATTGTTGTCTATGTGTGTCTATCAAACTCTACAAATAAATAATCCACATCTCGACTCTACATCAACTCTCAACTACAATATCTACAACACTTTACATCAAGCCACCCAACACTATACACACAATATCCTATTTTACGATGAACCATTCAACTCTATATATTAAATCGTCAACTCTGCAATACACAGGAACATAAACAGGAAGATAGAATTATCATTACAATTCCGATGTTTTGGAAGAAATCCATAGATTAATTTTATTTATTCTAGTTGTCCTAAAAAAATCCATAAAGAGAGATTATCGCTTGAAATATTGCAATTTAAAATAAAAACAAACTCATTGTGAGAAAATATTTGTTGTTTTCAAATGCTTTTCACAATTTTATCTTGAATCTACAATACACTATATGATCCATACAATACACTATTCAAGTTCACAAGAAAAAACCATCCAAGCCAATAAAATCCATTTTAAGTAAAAAATAAGGATTCTCTATTACAAGACTTTTAGTGACTTTTTGAATCAACGAATTTTGTCTTAAAACATCAGGTCTATATTTTCTAAAAGAAAGTTCAGAATATAGCAATACAACGCATTTTAAAACTTAAAAAATTATCAACACAATAAAGTCTACACACGCATTCAAAAAGTAATTCTAAAATATATAGATAATCTGCGTACTTTGGACACAAATCAACTATGCATTTATAATTTGAGTAGCTTCCAATATTCTTCAATGGTCTCTCACGATTTCAAATACTAATTGAAAGAGACATCGGTGAATAGCAAAACTTTAATTCTATATAATGTAGGTAAGAATGTTTTAGACTATATAATCACAAAATTTATACCTAAAATAAAAACCTTGAATCTACAAGGAAATCTAGAGACACTTAAAATACCATTTACTTTTATTTAGCCATGAAATTTGATCGACCTCTGATTAAATTCTTCAGCACGATGCCTGTCTGGTGCTAAGTTCTACCCAGGGAGTAAAGAGTTTGGCTCTTTATTGGATATATCAATTAGACAGATAAACTTCCAATGCTTCAAATTTGTTACGACTAAGCTTTTTATATTTTAAAATTTTCGTATTCTCATCACTTAGCGTTACTTTAAAGTAAAATGATCGTCCAATATCTCTACGAACAGTAGTGTAGATAGGGCAAGTGTGGAGCGACATCTATTCCTGGGACGACGGCCTATTCCGGGCCGTCACAATGGCAACATTAATTTCCCCAACGCCTGCTGCCGCGGGTCATATCCTGCTGCCACGTGGACAAGAAACATCTTGTTGTGATTGGGTGCCTCAATCAATTTCAAGCGAAATAAATCATTTGTTACCTTCCAGGTCATCCTGCGTCTCAATTTTAATTGGAACGCATTCTTGGCTGCTCCACGGGCGGTGTGGAACCTTAGGAACGGCTTTTTATGAAAAGGTATAGCGAGTTTTATTGTGCCGTTTATAAATGCCATGTAGTAGCACGTAATTTTATCTGTCGTGTAAAAAGTAAAATATTTTTCTATATTTTAGTCATTTTTTACTAATATGTTACTTCTGAAAGACTGAACTTTTATAGATAATATGGTCAAAACTCCCTCAGCATGTGCTGTGAAAATGTATTTCAGAAGATATATCCTGATAAATGTTTTAAAGACCGGGAAAATGAGAGTAAACTACTTGGGAATTTCGGATGGTACTATGCCAAGGGTTCCAGGATGTGCTGGCGCCGAATGGTCAGGATACCATGGACTGATAGACGAAGTATCAAAGCTGTCCTAAAAATGATGGAAGAGGGATTTGGGGCCTTCTGGACATGATTAAGAAAAGAGAAACCAGTATGTTTGGACATCTTGTTCGGCACTCGGAGTGGATATTGCTGGAGGAAATATCTGAAAGAGATAGAGAGAGGAAGATCGAGAATGGAACTCGTGGACAATACTGAGAGAATTAAGGCTGTCATCAAAAGACTGGTTCTGTAATGGATATTCTGGGAATACAAGAATACTTCCAGCCACCAAACTATGGTTCAGGAGAAATAGATTGTGTTAAGTGCGACATTAAATTTTCAAGTATTCTCTATAAACATTATTTTTTCCACCTTTGTAAAAATTGATTAGAAGAATCAATAAAAGTGTTTAAATTGTCATTGTCTATAAACATTATTGTTCAAATTGGTGAGACAGAAATCCTAACTTATCTATCATGCTTATAGCCAATGTGAATAACATGTGTTGAAGATCGATTCTTACAACACATCGCGTTAAAGTAAATTTAGAGTTAGTATTTTATAAAGTAAGTTAGCATGGCTCTTCCTTAGAGACATATGCATTCCATAATCGTTATCAATTTCTGATTTCCTTCGAGATAATCTTTCAACTGCTTTTTGTAAACACAGAATTCACCAGCTTTAATTTATCATTGAGTAAACAAGCCCCGTCGTTTCGATACACAATCTTTAAAATATAAATGCTATCATTTTATTTAGACTCGGATTAAATATCTGAGGGATGTACATTCAAGTATGCTCCAGCAGCCACAACGATAGGTTCCGGCAAGCCATCCATTCTGTCCTTCGGCCATTGGCGCGTCATCACCTTCCACGTCAACGGACAAAGGAGCGTGCGGTGGATCTTAAAGATTCTTTCTACCGCGGGCTGGAAGACGGATGGGCCCGTCCATTCATCACCCGGTCATACACTTGTAATAGATTCAACCAATCCTGCCAGACGGGGTGTGACAACATGGAGTCGCCTTAATTGCTCGTTCAACTCCCACTGCTTGAACAAACTCACGTACAAGATATTATACAAGTATAGTTGTAGTATAGAAGACTTTCTATATTTCATCTCACTAGAGAGACACTACTTATATTTTGAATAATAATAATAAAAACACGCTTTAATTACGTATAAATCTTACGATAATTGTTTTAATTTAATAAATATGGTATGTAAATATATGAAAATATAGTTAGACTGTATAGATATGTAAATTAAAGAAGCAGAGATAAGATCCTCGATTCATTAGATAAAAAAAAGATTATTATTTCTCCCAAAAACTTGGAATAATTGTTTAATATTTTCTTGAATTTTCCTCTTTATTGAAACTAAAGTATTCATGACGTTCGTAGAAGAGTTTTCACCTTGAATTAGTTATAAAGGAGAATTTTATTCAAATATTACTATTTATAGATTCATAATTTATTATAAATGGATATATTCCCCAATTTTAAATTTCTATATTTCAATTCCTAATTAATATTCTAGGTATGTGTGTAAGCTTTTAAGAATTCGGGTTTTTAAAATTGCAAGTTAGTCCAAGGCGGGCTTTGATTTTATGAGATTAACAAGGAATCAAATGAAATTTTTACACTCCGCTAAAGAGGTGTTGGGAAAGTGGCTAGGCCATATCTGTGGTCCAAATTTCGATATCTCTTCATAATACATAATCATAAATGTTTTTTTTTTAATAGTCTTGAACATATACACTGAAATGCGATCCTTTTTACACTATATTTTGAAGTTTAAGATTATTAGAGCATTCTCTAATGGTAAATAATGGGGCTTAGAGGCATTGACGTAAAAAAAGCCCGATAGTTATAGAATATTTTCTAAACCAGAGAGAGAGAAGCAAACATAAAAATAATAGAATAATAAAAGAAAGGTGTTGATCCATTCAATAATTCCATAAGCACGTTAGTACAATAGGAATGTAAGTTATATACGTACTGTAAGCCTTAAGTAAACAAAGAAGTCAGGCGTACTACACTTAAATGATATATAGCTAGTACGCGGGGCGTTGCCAACTCCATATCTTCACACCAACAAACCAATCGCCACCTTGTTCATCTTTATTAGCGTTTGTTCATAAATCTCGCGGCCATAGAGGAGTAATTGGCCATAAAATTACCTGAGTGCTAATGGTCGATGCCAGAGCAGCAGCAGCCCGCGGGACCCAACACAATGGGCAGGTCGGCCAAGATTAATTGCCGCTCTCCCCGCCTCGACTTCCCCCCCCCCCCCCCCCCCCTCCAACAAGATAAAAGTTTCTTTTCAACCTATTCGCATGATTAATAGTGTTTTGGGAAATCATAAAAAGACCCCCATTCAACACGACCAGATTTTTTTGTTCATTCTGTGTTTGGGAGTGACCATTGTCAGTCTGTCTTTCGAGAAAAAGGAATGATCTAATGGTGGCTTGTTAGACACGCACGCGTCCCATGTTTGGAGCTTTTGCTTGGTCGTTTTTTTTTTCTCTCCTGCGCGTCCCGTACGTAGAGAGGAGCTGAATTCCTGCCGAATGCTCTCTGCGCCACTCCAAAGGCCATCACTCCTGGCTCAACGTTTTTTGGTCATTAATGTTTGCGTGTTACTCCGGGGTAGATCAACATGGCCTTCATCAAGTGGCGCTCAGAACGTGTTTCCATTTCATTTTGATAAGGATAAAATTGAATGTTTAACTTTCAACCAATGATACGAAGTGACTAGGGTAGCGTGCCACTGCCTGTCAGATACTGTAAATATCGGTAGCAATTAAGCTCTTCGAAAAAAGATATGGCTATATCAACCAAATTTTTATTTAATTCCCCAAACATTTCAATGTCTCACTATCACTCTCCTCAAGAGAAAATGATTATTTCTATAATCTTATATTCCGTTTATCATTACTCTTTACAATTCATCCTATCATACTTCATCCTTAAAGTTAGAAATATTCGCTATTTCTCTTTAAAAATAAATTTCGATTTTTCGTTTAAAAGAAACATTCGCGGTATAATTGCAATTTTCGTTTTACAATCATAAGCCGCGTTATATTGTATTTTAAATTACTTTATATAATGTTTACGAACGGAAAAATATGTCCAGGGTAGCCTAGTGGACATGGCATCTGCCCGGTAAGCGGAACACTGTGGGTTCGTTTCCCATCCTTGGACACTTTTATTTTTCCGTTTATCATTACTCTTCACAATTCATCCTATCATACTTCATCCTTAAAGTTAGAAATATTCTCTATTTCTCTTTTAAAATAAATTTCGATTTTTCGTTTAAAAGAAACATTCGCGGTATAATTGCAATTTTCGTTTTACAATCTTATTTTCTACTTATATAAATAGGATTCAAATAATCATTCCCCTGAGGAGACTTACTCGCTGTTACTGAAATGTCAGGAACTAAATAAACAATTAGTTGAGGTAGCTATATATGTTTCCATACAAACTTTCAACCAACAATTGATCTTCAAAAATAAGCTCTTCGAACTATTTCTTGCTGCGTTTTAAAACATCAGGTCATTCACTGAACACCATATCGGTATATTCACAACTATAAATTGATGGAAATATAATGTCCTAGGATTATTTCAGAGCGTTTCTGATAAAATAAACGGAAGGATCTGACTTCAAGATAGAGTGTACATGTCTAACGGATGGAGAGAGAGAGAACTGTTCATTTTTTACTTTGAATGTTTTATATGGAACATGCGTAACTTTTGTTTATTTGCCTCATATTTGTCAAAAAGGCCTTTTTTAAACCATAAAAAATCCATTTTTATAAATTTTAGCATTATTGTATATTGTTTCTTTATTATACTTGTTTATTTGTTATCATTTTACAATTTGAATACTCCTGTTTTGTAAAACTTGAATATCTAAATGGTATCTATCTAAAAACAACTAGAAACAACCTATTCTAGGCTCCCATATATCATTTAATTCATTCGCCGTTTTAAATAACGAATTTTTGGTTGATATAAAGTTTTCAAATGTTGGGACTTTAGAAAATATATATTATACATATACGTTTTGAAATTATCCCGAGAGAGTTCATATATAGTATTTCCAATCTTCACTATCTTGATTAGCGTTTCTAACATTTTTTGGCTCTCGAACAGGCAAAATTGGTGAAAAATATTTCAAGGAGTTATGTTTTGTTTTATACCTTATAGGTATTAAATAACTAATAATACATATATTTTATCTAAATCTTTAAAATTACGGCTAAAATATCGTACACAAAATATTCCTATTGATATTTATAATAAGTTTTTTTTTAACATAGACAGGCAAAATTCTCCTAAGACTAATCAAAAATTTCAGCGGACTGGTGCGGGTCTGTCGGAACAGCTGTTGAGAATCACTAACCTAGTGGAAAAATATCTTTCTTCGAACACGTGGACTGCAGAGAGGCAGTCCGAGATTGACGATACCATCCATGTTTCACAGACAGGAATACCGCTAGGAAGTCTGATGAGCAAGGCCCTCTTAACATCTTTTATCGCAGTTAGGACAGTAGCAGTTTCCTTTATTAAAAAAGCAAAAAACATGTTTAATAGTTTCATTCCATGTATATGTATGCATATATGTTGCGTGTGTTTGAAAAAAAGGAATGGTAAAAAGTAGGAGATGATCAGGTAATGATATGCCTATTTTTTACATATGTAACATGTAATTACCTTATGTCTAATAGATTTAATAGCCTAACATTTGGACGTCCCATTTGTGTGTTGTATATACATTTTTAGAAATTATATCACACTAAATATTAAAAGTATGTATTCCAGCCAACTATAATAGTTTGAAGGTTTTGGCAATCTAGGTTCCCGATGAGTTTTTGGGGTAGAACACTGTGGCAAAATGACTAACACGAGACACATCCATCACATCAAGTCGCAATTTGCATATCTTAGTAGTCCATCGGCCCATGTGCAACAATGGCCAGCCGCTCCTTCGTCCTTTCTTTCTTTATTCTCGAGGAATTGATTTTCTGGGGTAGAGTGTTGAATACTTCCTTGGATTAACTGTCGCAATCTTCTGCACGTCGCCTATGTGCCTTCTTACATTACATAGGTGTGGCGATGGGCAGAGAAAACAACAACAAAGTTAACATTTTAATACATAATTTTTATTAGAGAAAACTGGTGCAAAGTTAGCAGCACAAATTGTGTTTATTTATATAATTGATTTATGAATTGATTTTATAGCGTAGAGTGTTGAATACTTCCTTGGATTAACTGTCGCAATCTTCAGCACGTGTGCCTTCTTACATTACATAGGTGTGGCGATGGGCAGAGAAAAACAACAACAAAGTTAAAATTTCAATACATCATTTTTATTAGAGAAAACTGGTGCAAAGTTAGCAGCACAAATTGTGTTTATTTATATAATTGATTTATGAATTGATTTTATAGCGTAGAGTGTTGAATACTTCCTTGGATTAACTGTCGCAATCTTCAGCACGTGTGCCTTCTTACATTACATAGGTGTGGCGATGGGCAGAGAAAAACAACAACAAAGTTAAAATTTCAATACATCATTTTTATTAGAGAAAACTGGTGCAAAGTTAGCAGCACAAATTGTGTTTATTTATATAATTGATTTATGAATTGATTTTATAGCGTAGAGTGTTGAATACTTCCTTGGATTAACTGTCGCAATCTTCAGCACGTGTGCCTTCTTACTTTACATAGGTGTGGCGATGGGCAGAGAAAAACAACAACAAAGTTAACATTTCAATACATAATTTGTATTAGAGAAAACTGGTGCAAAGTTAGCAGCACAAATTGTGTTTATTTATATAATTGATTTATGAATTGATTTTATAGCGTAGAGTGTTGAATACTTCCTTGGATTAACTGTCGCAATCTTCAGCACGTGTGCCTTCTTACTTTACATAGGTGTGGCGATGGGCAGAGAAAAACAACAACAAAGTTAACATTTTAATACGTAATTTGTATCAGAGAAAACTGAAACAAAGTTAGTAGCACAAATTTTGTATTTATTTATATAATTGATTTATGAATTAATTTTATAGCGTAGAGTGTTGAATACTTCCTTGTATTAACTGTAGCAATCTTCAGCACGTCGCCTATGTGCCTTCTTACATTACATAGGTGTGGCGATGGGCAGAGAAAACAACAACAAAGCTGAAATTTCAGCACGTAATTTTTATTAGAGAAAACTGGTGCAAATTTAGTAGCACAAATTTTGTCTTTATTTACATATTGATTTATGATCAAAGTCTATATATGATCCAAAATAAGAATTTAATCAATAATGAATTTCACATGAAATTTCCCATTATATATTTCCCAAGGTAAAATTTACAGAAGACTTTTATATAATATTGTCTCAAAAGTTCGTGTTTGTCTTATTACTTGGCGAATACTATTATTGCGGCGAATACATAATAATAATAATAATAATAATAATAATAATTGGGTTGGCCAAATATCAGGGAAAAGGCTAAATCAATGATTAGTTGATTTCTGTTCCACCAGATGGCGCTCTGCATTCTGAAAAGCACATGTGCTCCTGGTCAGGATATGCCTTTTTAATTTTTACATAATAATACATAATAGAATTACTTGATATATAATACAAAGACATTATATATAACGGCGAATAATATTGGTGTTTTAATTTTATTGCAATTGTTTACAAACTTTTGGGACAACCTTGTAAATCTAAATTATATATTGCTTCGAAAAATATAATAGAAAATATACACGAGCCCCCCCAAATAAATATAGATATATAATTTTAAGAATATATACACCTCTCTAATGTGCTCTCAAATCTATAAGGATTATTTGAACTGATTTTCAAGTAGAAAATAAAGTTCCAATGTTTTTATGAATATTTTTGCTATATATGCTGAAAATTAGATCCCTTTCACACACACTAATATGGAATCTTTTCATTTATCCTTTTTTTCAATAAATGACACGTACTATCTAGGTATTTACTTTCAATGTGTACTTTGATTATGGATATCTACGGAATATTTGAAAACATATCTGCATACGTTCTGTACCAGTAAATATCCTTATAAAACATATCTGCACACGATCTGTACCAGTAAATATCCTTATAAAATTAAAAACTATATTATTTTTATCATTTATTTGATTAAATAAATGAAATTGGAGAAACAACTGAGAAATGAGATGTTTTATTTTAATATATTCTCTCTCCTCCTTGAATAAAATAAAGATTTCTATCGACATTTATACAAATGGAGGAGTAAGGTGCAAACAAAATCACAAAAATAAATTGTTCTTTTTCTTGTGTGAATTCACTCGTTCTTCTCGAGTTGATATAAATGACTAAAGAGACGTGTGTCGGCACTTATGAACTTCTCACTGATAAATTAGATTATCAATCCTAAATTGATCCCAGACATAGAGTGTAAGGTCGGCATATATATATACTGCTCACATACCCATCCGAGAATTCCAAGTCGAGCTTCTTTAATGGGACTCACCAACCTAAAGGAACTGTGATAACATTGACTAACAGCATCGTAGTAACTTCGCTTCAAACTTATTCTTACACGTTTTTAAAACGAATATTATGTCAACTGACTTTTCTTTTTTGGCATTTCAAGATTATATAGCGCGACAACAGTTAGAATTAATGGAATGTCTCTCCATCCTAAAAAAAAAAAAAAAAAAACCTGGCACTCAACAAAATCACACCTACAAGCTTCCATTGTTGCCATCCACCCTGGCTCAAGGCCTGTTCTAGACAAGGTACCCAAGATTTCACAGAACATTTTCTTTAAAAATTGCCTTAAAATGTCGCCATATATTTTTCTATTTTTATTATTTATTCATATTTTGTTTGTGGAGTTAATACATTAAGTACTGCTGGGTGACATTGGTTATTAGGAAGTGAACAATAAGTATATTCTCTCGACCAAAATATTTTTGTATTTTCACAAGGTTGTTACTGTTTATTATTCCCATCGTATGGTCTGATTGGATATCAATTCCATAAGTTGGTGGGGATGTCTCCGAAGCTCGTTTTCCCGGATTGTCTCAAAGGTCTTGTTTTGTGGCTTGATTACAGTCAAGTAAATGTTGAGGATTGGCACTATCAATTTAGCATTTGGTGCAGGTTGGGAATATCTTGAATTAATTGCTCTTCATAAATTT